AAAAATTACGTAGGCCATATGCGTATGCAAAATGTGTGTGGGAAGCTAGAAGTGCTGTGAACAATCCCATCCGTGTTACGATTTTTTTCACAGTTCTGTAGATCTTATATTTATAAACTATATGTCTGCTTTTTCTGTCGTTGCACCCAAAAACACAATTTAAAACGTTAATTCCAATCTCTAGGTTGCACAGTGAATTCTGTAACTCAAAATTACAAACTGGACAGTAAATGTTCCACTTTTCACTCGTTTGTAAAAGCCGCTCTTGCTTTAAAAGTTGTAGGGTTACTTCCGAAAAAGATAAATTGTGCCCTCAAGACGCCATTGTTTTCGGTCTTCAATTCCTCACAGGTCACGTGGTACAATTCCCGTTCTATAAAAGTGTAGAATTCTGTGACACACACACACAGTCACATGTGTGCAGGCCGCCCATCCGACTCCGACACACGCCAAAGTAGACACGTGTGCGAGCCAACAACGCATGTGTTGGTATGGGGGGAAAAAAGGCCGCTGATTGGTCGCATGCAATCGGCTAACTGAATAATGGTTCACGATGCAGTTGCAATGGATGGTTTCCGGGAATAGATAAAGTTCGTTCTGGGAGAAAAATGAGCGAAGCCACGTCTGCGGGAGCAGTTCACCCTAGAAGCGACCTCGTTGAATCCGAGCTCGCTGATTTAGTGCTCGTTGAATCCGGGTTATTTTTTATTGATTTTAAAGAAGAAAAAAAACGTGGAATCTATCTCATCTCGTTGAATCCAATCTCGTTAAATCCGAGTTCCATCGTATAGTTGTAGATTAAGATCTGCCTTGAGAATGCAGACTGTTGATGTGTAAGAAAATCCTAGCTGCATATCATCCACGGACAGACGTCTCACGGGACTAGGCTACTGAAATCTGTACTCTGGTGACGTTTAAAGGGCTGCGCATGGTGCGTGTTCGACATGAAGTGGTCATTTTTTAAAGAACTTTTTGGTTCTGATTCGCTATAGATCCAAACTGACGGAACTTCTCTACTCATGACGCTAAAGGTCTTGAGGGCACCTACCTAAGCATTCTCTCCATGCCGTGCGCAGAACTTACGAAATGTCAGGGATGGTGAGTTTTTGTAGAGGTAATGTTCAATACAAAAAGCTCCCTGCTCTTTACTTAAGGTAACCATGATCTAAGCAGGCAAACGAAATTTTGGAAAAATAATATCTGCAGACTTCTGTTGACTTGTTAGACTGCTGTAGCTTGCAATATGGCGCGATTGTTGCAACTTTTAGAGGTAGGCCTAATGCAAACTGGTGCGTCATGCTATGAAAATGGCGACAAGGTTGAAAATGGGTTGTTTTTTTAATGCGCTATATAGAGCAAAACCATTCAATGGACTTATATCTAAAATACATATATCAGACAAATTCCTTTTGGCTTCCTAATATTATGTTCAAATCTGAAACGCACAACTTCAGGGTGGAGGAAGATATTTACAAAACAAGTTGTAAAGTTGTTGTTGTTTTTTGGATCACCCTGTAGGCCTACTTTATAACCCCAACGACTGCATGTGCAAGTAAGCAACGGAAGAACCGGGTATTGATTTTTTTTCTTCTCCCATGTGGAAATGTAACGTCAGATATTTCATTGCAGTTTACGTAACAATGACATTTAACGTATCCCAAAAGTACACCAATTGTACATCATGTGGCCTACTGTAAAGCCGCTACATCAACGCGAAATTAATAATCGGAGCACATTATACTTGTACCTCAATGAATGAAACAGTGAGGGGAGCGCAAGAGCAGGTGTACATATATGAAACAATAATCACGTCTGCTGTTGCTTCCCCTCCTCCCAAACTCAAGGTCAAAGAGAATGGTGCACCGCGAGACAAGGAATAATATAATAGGCCTACAGTAAAACCTCGGTATAAAATTAAAATATATTCAGCAGAAAACATACTGATCCCGACTGTAACTTAGCATAACTTTTATTTTTTGAAGTCTGGAGTTCCATTTACATATAATTTTTATTCTTTGAAACTGCATTAAGGTCCTTTGTCTAAAACTGCCTCTGTAAAACGCTCTTAGTCTTTTCGCTAATTTAATATTATAATATAACGCTCACTTTCACGAGGTTTTAGTGATCAAAGGTTCATAAATAACGAACTTTGTACATTGTGAGAATAAAGAACATAGCAGAGAAAATGATAGTTTTGCCGTACATGTACTCATGTATACAATTATTACAAAGTAATATGAATCAGCTGCAGTGAGAGAGCGAGTTTTCCGCAGTAGTTGTACATGTTAGACACGCTTTTGTTAGTATTTGCCGTTATATCTTTGTTAGTACTTGCAATCCCCCCCCCTCCTTTTTGTCTTCTCTGTTTCTCCCTTTTTCTGCGCGTCCATGTATGTTCATGTCTCCCTTCTTTCCACCTATCACTGTCTCACTATTCTCACTTTTCCCACGCGTATATCCTTGGCTCCCTTCTCCCCACTTATCCCTATCTTCCTTTCTCCCTTCTCCCCACTTAGATCTATCACTATCAGTCTCAATTCTCCCACATCATGTCCATAGTCCCCGTTTGCTTTCTCCCTATGCCTCCCTTCCTACCCCCCTTCCCCCCCACGCATCCCCCCTCCCTCCTCCACACGTGTAATCTCCTCCTAATGGTTAGATTTCTTTTTCAACACAAAAATATCCGCATATAACATGGTTTATGAATAAGATTACGTTTTTAGTGTAAACTAAGAACTACAACAGTCAAATACTGTTTACGGTACTACTATAGTTGAGATCATATACACATTGCGCTTCAAGAAGTGGTTAAGTTTTAGTAAGAGTTAAGAGGGTTTTTTGTGTGTATTTTACGGCGCTCGCAACGAAATAAGGTTATATGATGAGCCCGCGGGACACATTAAACATTACACATGTGTCAGTCGGTAGGAAATTTTCTGCCGGCCGAGGCCTACTCTTATCGATTATAGACCACCAAGGGATCTTTCAGGTGCGCATCTTGCGCACGGGACCTTCGAGATTTTTCGCCCTTGTCCGAGAAGGCTAGGTGTAGATCTTTCCTACCTGAAGATCAGGTGTGTGGCTGAAAGACAGCAGTAAGAAGGAGCCAAGGAGTAGAAGTAGAAGATAAGATAAGATAAGATAAGATAAGATAAGAAAGTACTTAATTATCCCAGAGGGAAATTTTCCTTGGCTGTACAGGACCGTAAAAACACATGCAGGTATACATAAAAAATTTGAATTATAAATATATTACTCTCATTAAAATTCAATATGAAAAGAGAAGTAAAGCTGACAAAATGTACATTTACATCTAATGCATCATTCAACCACATGCAGGAATTTAAATACAAGACCTTTGGAGTTATGTATAGACACATACTTTAAGAGCAACACACATCAGCTTTCTATGCTCATTCTGACAAAAGCCTTATGCTAGATGGTAAAAAAACTTCTTTTTTTCTTTCTTTGTTTTTGGAGGTACCTATCTGCTGTTGCGTGATCTTACAATTTGTGTGGAAAAGGGGTGTGATTATATGTAGAAAGATTATATAAAGATCTAGAAAGGTTGCAGAAAGAGTCAGGAGCCCTGAGGAGGGGGCAAAGGAGGTGAGGGGATGGGAACAGAAAGTGGAGACGAAAGCAGGCGACAGAAAATTGCTATAGATCAGGAAAGGAGGTGCAAGGAGACAATTTTAGGGAAGACAATTTTTTCTGTCGCGACCCAGATTCGAACCAGGGACCTTTGAATGAGAGGCCAACACCTTAACCTCTAGGCCACGAAAGCCCCCCTAGTAAGAGTTTACGGGATTTGCAACATAAATAGGTCATACAAGTGTGGAAGATTACAGGTGTCACTAGACAGCCACATACAAATAACGAAAAGAAATAGAAGAAGCAGGGATAACGAAGATAGATATTTCATAGGAAAGAAGAAGCAAACCAAAAGTGGCTTCATTTTTCTTTTTTAAAATAAAAAAAAAATTATAGTAGAGGGTTTTACGCCGCTCGCAACTGCATAAGGTCATATGAGCGCCAAGGGGTGGGTGTCAACAGAGAAGTCTTTACAGGGAATCAGACTTACTCTGCTCATCTCTATAGCTTCAACAGCACAAGGTCTGCTTCGATTATCAAGGCACCCCTGAAATAGCAGGTCACAAAAGTGTGACAAACATACAAAAGAAGTAGAGGAAAATGACAATAGGTAGGATTAGGAAAGAAAAAGCAGCAGTTCCCTGTTGAAGATACAGTTATGAGCTTGACATGATGAATCAGCCCATTTACAATTCTACTGTGCTTGAACGAGAAATATTCCCCTTTGGGAATGGCCTAAAGACACTACAGTCAGTGGCACTCGCCGCACTGCCCCGGGGGATAATTCAGGGGGATAATTCATTCTTCAATTTTTGTGTTTTCTAAAAGAGTTTACTATTCTTGAAATCTAGTGTAAAAATTTACGTTAAACAAAAATCTTAACATCTGAGCACTCGTATCTTTTACTGAGATATTACACTCGGAAAGTGAACTTTGGTGCTTTTTGTATTTGTGCTTTACAGCCCTGGCAAGACAACTTGAACGAGTGCCAAAGATTAGAGGTGTTACAAGAGAGTAACAAGCTCAAAAAAGGAGTAGGACGATAGATCATAATTGATAGGAAAGGAGAACCACACCGCCTTGATGCTTTACAACATAAATTTCAATTAACTTTGACCACAGAAGACAAGAGAAAAGTATTACCCTCAAGTAGCTAAAGTAGGCCTACCTTGTTATGTTAATGCATTTCTATTTGTAAGAATCATCTTTTTTTATTTTGAGCGCTTTAGCATTCCTCCATTGAAAAGAAAAATCATTACATTGTTCATCAGTTAAAATACTTTTAGAGTTCTCTGAACAATGGATCTTCCGTTTCATTGAGATAAACACAAAAGAAACTTTGAGAGAAACATTGAGAGATACACTGAGAAAGAAACTTTGAGACAAACTTTAAGAGAAAGACCATATTACACTTGTGCCCTTTTGTCTGTTTAGGACAGATTTATTCAACCAAAAACAATATCTTTCAGACACAGCATGTATGTCAACCAACAATATCGTCTCATAATATGTGCATGCATACACACACAAAAAATATACTCACACTCACACAGAGGCAGGCAACACACACACACACACAAAAACACAAAAAAGCCACTCGCACACACATAATGAGGGAGGCTATCGTCTCGTCAACACACCAGCACTGTATGAGTGAGATAATTTTTTCCCTCTTAAAATTTTGATCATGAAGGTGGTGGGCTTTCTTCCCCTGTCAGGGCCAAACTGGGCTGACAAGGATACCACATCCAAGCAAAAAGACGAAGATATTCGATAAAAATTTCTCCCCACTCAGAAATTAATTGATCTTGGGTCTCCTGCCTGCCACACCGAAGTGTCTAACCTTGTGACCACAAATGCCGGTACTGTGTGAGTGAGTCACACAGTGAGGTATTGCCTGGTCGACACACCAGTACTCTCCATGACCTCCTGACCTTTCCATCAAGTCGTCAAGTCTCCAGCATGACACGACATTCGTCACTTCTCGGCCAGGAAAAACTTGCCCTGTTCTCGACAGTCTGTAGACACAAAATAAACATTGGAACTATGAAGTTGTGGGCGGTTTACAGATGCTCTTGTGTGGTTAGCTTCTTCTTTTCTATCCAGTATTTATCAATATCATCCTTAACCCTTTGAGCCCTGACCTGAAGCTGCGGTGCCCCTCTGCCTGAGCTCCTGAGCGATATATTACTAACATTCATATGATCTTCAGAATCACATTCCATATCCCATTCATGGTATTTCTCGTCATTACTAGCATCTGTAATTCAGAAAGATCTTCAAAATAATCAGTAACGTCCTGTGTAGTAAACACGGTTTCCTGCATGCGCTTTGTCCCAGGTGGGCCAGTTTGGGGATAGGGTTTTGCTCCACTGGTACCACCAGTGTATCTGTGGTGAGGGCTCACAGGGTTGACTCTCCTTCTTCTTTTCTGTGCATGTTACTTTTGAGTAACACCTCTAATCTTCGCCTTTAAATGATCTAATTGTGTTGCAAGTGCCATAAAACTCTTACTAAAACTATACTGTGAAGTTAAAAAGAAAACAACACTCATTGCCATGTCCCTCTGGAGCAGCTTGTTCGCTTGAGTAAAGAGAAGCACATATATCAACACAATAATGGCAATATAGTGCAGAGAAGAAGCATGACAGAGACAGAAACAACAGAGGGAGAGAAAAGAAGTAGGAGCTGCCAGTGGCACTCTCCACCAACCACCCACGCTTACAGGTTGAATTTAGTAGCTTACATTGACATAGTAACAGCAGTTTAGTGTTGGGGAAAAAACAAGACAGAACAGAAAGCATATGGTTTAACGCCCCTAACAACACTATTAGACTATTTATGAGGCGGATAGACAGATACATCAGAGAGGAAAGAAGTACAATGAGAACCAATATATTGTGGATTGTCAAAAAACACAAGAGAATTTGTTACTTCTTTGAGGAACATCAGATGAAAGTACACCTGATCCTGTCATACCACACTGACAGAGTCGTGACTTCAAGAAAAAAGCAAAAAAACAAAAAACAAAACAACATAGGTATAGACTGGCTTTCTTCTCATAAAGTCTTCAAAGGTAAAAAAATAAAGAGAAAATCAGATCTCATTATCCCACATGAGGAGCAACAGAACAATGGTTTGTTTGTTTAAAAGAAAAAGTAAAGAAATAGAACCTGCCAGTGGCACCCCTGAACACTCGAAACACGCATAGAACAACAGATGAAAGTACAACAGTTCCCGTCACCCCACATGAGGAGTGATAGAACATCAGATGAAAGTACAACACCTATCATCCCACACCGATTGAGTCACAATTTCAGAAAGGGACCCCTCCTCTCCCCCACCTCCCAAAAAATTTTGTTTAATGCATACATATATATAAATCTAGACTAACATACTTTTATTATTAAGTCTTCATAGAAATTCTAAAAAATAAGGAAAAGAAAAAACACAACAAAAGAGAAGACAACTCATCCCCCCCCCCCCCAACCCCATTTGTCATCTTGTCATGATGTGCCACTGACTGACCTTGTAAGAGAGTCAACAACTGGTCAAAGCCTTCCCCCCACAGAGCCGGGAGATTCTCCGAGGTCACCGGGCCGGCTCCATCAGCCAGACTTGCCAGGTACTGTTGTCTGCTAGCATATCTGGATATGGTTAAGGCTGAATCAACTGTCTCATTTACTGTACTGCCGTAAGCTGACAAAACACCTTTTTTTTGTCCACAGCAGTTTCGAGAAATCAACGATTTTCTGTTTCCTTACAATATCTCAACTACTTTGCACAGTACAGCAACGTTTGAACTCGCACCCTATCAGAATGTCATTCCCTATGTACAACATAAATTTTGTTTATTTTCTTTGAGAAATAAACAAATAAATCACGAAAAAAGGCGTTTTGTCAGCTTGCCTTACACAAGGCGTTTTAATAAGAACGCCTTTTTTTTAGACGTTCGCTGAGAGAACGCCTTTTTTTTAGTCGCTGGCACTAAAAAAAGGCATTGTGTCGGCGAACTCTTAAGAAATGTATTTAGCCGTATGCCTTATTGATAAGTCAGAATTGGGAGACGGGAGATGGGGCACAGAATTCCTTTGAAGTTTGCAGCCGCGCAGGATTAAACTATGTGTGTAGAAATTTAGATTTACCGCAGGTAAAACCTTATTTTATTTTCGGAATCAGCGTATCAAAATTTTATAAGAGAAGTGGGTCGCATGTAACCTGATGTGATGCCATAATATATAAGCTTAAGCAAACTTTGTTTTCAAATTGTCAGGTAGATTCTATGCAGGTCAGCCACTGTGTTATGCATTTGACGTCAAATCTGACAGGACCAGATCTAATAAACAAAACTTAAACACTGACTGAAAAATATATAGGCATTGCAATTTCAACTGGACAGCACGCCACCATGCCCATGGTTTTCGAGTAAGGTTAGGGGTCATTGTGACGTCAAAGAGGTCATCCTGTCCAGAGTCTTATCCACAGAGGTTTATTAGTTTAAACCACTTCATATAATAACATCGCTTCATATAATAACATCTAGAACTCTTCACATGGATGAAAATTAAAAAGAAATCGACCATTTTTCTCCTCTTCCCCCACCCCTCCGTC